CTGACGTTTGATGCTTCCTTCCTCTTGACTTGGTGACTATTCCCTTCTCTGCAGCGGCTGTTGCTGTTCAGTCGCTCGGACGTGGCCAGCTCTCTGCGACCCCATGGACTGCAGCACGCCAGGCTTCCCTGTTCTTCACTATCTCTCTGAGTTCGCTCAAACTCATGTCCTTTGAGTCGGTGATGCCATCCAACCATCTCATCCTCTGTCTTCCCCTTCTCCACCTGCCCTCAATCTTTCCCAGCATCAGGGTCTTTTCCAATGAGTTGGCTCTTCGCATCAGGTGGCCAAACTGTACTTCTTTGCAGTAGTTCATCCTTAGCCAGCCTCTACACACACGCACGCGTGCACACACACACACACACACACACACACAGAGGAAAATGCCCTCGACTCCACCTCATGGAATGATTGCTCTTTTCAGTCAACCAAGACTTAGAGTTGGGACTGCTACTTCTCCAGGAACATGGCTCCTCTACCGGTCAGGCCACCCTCACAGGCCCGCCTGGCATCGCAATGATCCCTGACTGCCAAAAGAGTTCCAAGAGTACAGACACTTCCAGAAACACCAGTTGGAGTTGCTGTTCCTGGAAGAGCACCTGAGGGCCTGGAGGGCCCAGCTGGCTGTGTTCTGCGGCCAGTTCCCTGTAACCCCCCAGAGTTAGAGGCACAGGCTCCTGTTCACACATGCCTTCTGGACCACCCCCTGCCCTGGGAGCTTGGGAATTCTGACACGGAGCCCCCGGGGACCACACTACTAGGTGTGTGTGTGAACAACCTTGTGTGGGATGTCCTCTTTGGAAAACGTCTTGCCTTGTTATTGGAAGAATGCCTGCTTGTGGTGGCCTTGACAGAGTAAAATGGAACCCCAGAAAAATATTCAGAGAATTTGAGCAATTCTTCTGCCTTGTCCTCAGTGATCCGAGTCCTGCAGTGAAAACACTGGACAATTGTGGACCCGGAGCTCTCAGCCTTGCACAAGCGATGGAGACGGTCTGCCAGTCTCAAGAATGTGCCGATGGAATCCTTTTCCCTCTCTTGTAACCAAAGCTCATTGTTTGAACGAAGGCTTTCTCATCTTTTTATGTCCTTACTGTTCCCTTTTGCAGAAGCGGACAAATTTCCCCCAACTTTTGATTTCTTGGAGATGGTAGGGTTTTCACTTTTTGATGCTTTTGGAATTTTATTTTTATTTTAAAATTCTGGGTCCCAGGGAGGTCTAGCGGGGATAAGTACATGTTGCCATCCTGACTGACTGGGGTTTGCACGTGGTTACAGGTGAGGCTTCCCCCCATCATATGCCAGTCGTGACAGTGAGTATCTAGGGAACTTACTGTGGGCTGCCTCCTGTAGGTATAGACCCATTTCACCCCAGCTCCATGGGGTGGGCACTGCTGCTGTCACTGTTTTTCAGATAGGGACCAGAGAGGAAGGAATCAGCCCAGGGACAACCAGTCACCAGCAAAATGTGGGAGAGCTGATTCAAACTCAGGGATTCCGAAATCTACACCCTTAACCACTTTCGCCTGCCTCCTCTTGATTAATTCAGAAATGAAAAGACAGATGAGTTCTCTGGTGGTCCAGCAGTTAGGACCCTGAGCTCCCAATGCAGGGGCCACAGGTTCGATCCCTGGTCGGAGAACTAAGATCCCACATGCTTTGCAGTGTGGAAAAAAAAAAAGAGAGAGAAAGGACCTACTCTGAATTCACATGAGAGCCCTCCCCAAGACCACCTGCTGAAGAAATTTTATTCACAAAAATTGTTTGATGGAGGTGAACAACCAATAAAAATTTTTTGGCAATTTTTTGTCTAGTTTTGTACAATACCCTTGGTTCTTACAGCACTTCACCTCCGCTCAGCATCTAAACCCAGACAGAATGAAAGACAGCAGTCTCCAGTCCTAAAACACCAGAGTGGCTCAGATCCCAGCTCTACTCCATTCACACACACAGGCCATGTCCTTACATCCAGAGGACACCCAAGGATGAGTGACTCCCACGTTCAGGGCCAAACAGGGATGGAAGCTTAAGAAGAGGAAAGGAAACTTTGTACTGGAGCCACTTGGGACCTGGAGCGGCATCTTGGCCAGCATCGCTAGATACTAGAGAGAGAAGCCATTTCTTCTGGTTTGACGGGAGTTACCGGAACATCATCCATGGACTGATTGTGTTATGGAAACACATTCCAAAGCCTTTGCAAAGAGTTTGGGATGTCTGCTTCTTGTCCTAGAACTCTGCTCCTCTCCTGGGCATGAGGCCCAGGCACTGGGGTTTTGGAGGTGGCCCAGGCAGTGTAGACTGATGGTTAAGGACCATGCCTTAGCCCAGGCGCCGCCTCCATTTTCCATCATGGGGATCTGGGACCCAGAGGGAGAGCTCAACCCTGGTGACACCCAGGCCACTCAGCTTAGAGACATTCGTCTGAGACCACCCCTGCCAGCTTCACCACCTCTGTTATGGAGGATGATGTCCAGGGTGCAGGCCAGGGGCGGCGGGAAGCTGGCCTGGTGACAGGGATGACTGGAAACTGGGGCCACTGGTGTGACTGACGTTTCAGAACCATTGCTGTCAGCGTGCTTCCTGGGTGCTGGGAGCCCCCTCCGGGTTTCCTTTAGGAGGAGAAGTGCTTGAACCCTCACCTACCCCTTCGCTGTTGACAAATATTTGGCCGGTGGGGTCCTGAGGCCAGGGTGGGGTGGGCTGCTCCCTGCCCTGGGCGCCTTATCTCCTGGGTGTGGGCTTCAGCTTGCTGTTTGCTCTCTGCAAACTTTGTAGGTGGAGTGTGGCCCGGCACTGGCTCAGCCACATGATTTATGCTGAATCTCGGTTTTCCACTGAGTGGGGCCAGGGAAGCCTTTGAGGTGGCCCAGCAACTAGTCCCGTGTGGAGGTCACACTGCCTCCAGCCACAACTCCTCCCACCCCTGTGCCCCAAACTCTTGCCTTCCTAAGCCGTCCTTGCTGCTCCAGCAGCCTCTGGGCCGGTCAGCTGCTCATTCCTCCCCTGGAAAGCCTCGTCCTGACCACTTGGCCAGGCACAGTAAAGAATCTGTCTGCCAGTGCAGGAGAGGTGGAGATATGGGATTGATCCCTGGGTCGGGAAGATCTCCTGGAGAAGGAAATGGCAACCCATTCCAGTATTTTTGCCTAGAGAATTCCATGGCAGAGAAGCCTGGCGGGGTCCCAAAGAGTCGGACATCACCGAGTGATTAAAAACAAACGAAATCAGCTAAGTCCACCTCTCCCTTCAAACTTCCTGGGGCCTTGTCCCAGTTGGTGCTACTCTGCCCACTCAGGGCTGGTAATCATCCTGAGTTGTCACTGACTGACTCGGGGTCTGTATGCCCTGGGCTGCTGGCATCCTGGGTGAGCAGTCTTCCCCCTGCCTGGGTGATGCCAGGCAAAGGGCCAGAAGCTTCACACGCATGCACACAGTTTCAGGCAGTTCATACCACCCAAAGTGCCATTTGCAGTGGGGCCCAAGAGTTCCATGCTACGGGGCCTCCTCCAGTGGATTTGGTGGGGATGCCCTCCCACATTATGTGCCGGCAGGCCCCTGCTCATGTGTTGGGCATGCCACATCCACCCTCTTCTCCATGCCAAGCTCTCGTGCCTTCCAAGTCCAAGTCCATCTCATCCATCAGCACGCTCACATCCTTCTGTCCCGGTTCCTGTGAAAAAGGCCTAGCAGTCTGTTTGATCTTCAAGGCAATTATGGATGAATGTACACACACGTCTCACTCTACGGCAATCTGGGAGGTTTTATTTGGTGGAATTTGCTCCACTGATTATTGGAAGGTGTGTCCCACTAGGTCTCAGTTATGGCAAGAGGAAGTTTCCGGTGAGAACTGCCTGCATCTGATTCACCTTGGCTTTGATCATTGCAGATTCTTCACTGCACTGATTTTTTTACCCAAATGTGACGGTCCCCTGGTGCTTCTCAGCTAAGAGGCTCAGAGAACACCTGTGAGGAAGTGCTGCCTCTTACCCAGCGAGCAGGCAGTAGGTTCAGGGAGACAGGGTCAAGGTGTGGCCATGTGCAGTCACACCACAGGGGCTGCAGGGATAGGAGGGGGCCTGTCTTCAACCCCCAGACCCTCAGGAGGATGGTGCCAAGCTCTGCAGCTCCTTGGAGCCTCTGACTGCAAAGCCGTGTCCACCTGTGTCCCAGCCCAGGCCTTTTCTGGCTAGGGATGCTGGGAGAGGCTGAGGTGACTTCACTGGAATGGAGACGGACCAGGAGAAGGGGAGGCAGGTGCAGAGACTCCCAGCGCGGTTGTGCCTTGTCCACAGGGGGAGCTGGACTGGGGCACTGAGGTCACGACCCCTACGTCTGTCCTTACCATCCTGGGGGCTCCCCAACCCTGAGGACGCTAAGCAGGGTGTCTTCTGGATAATGACGGCAGGGAGGAGTGTTTGTCTCATGCCTGTACTGGAAAACCTTAGATCAGGCTGACCTGGGCCTCCCCACTCCAACCCCTCCTCCAACAGTCAGAGAACTTCTGAGACTTGGGGATTTCAAGATCAAGTTTTTTATTAAATGCTAATGATATAGTGTGGCTAATTTGTTTGGCCAAGACCAACAGAATCTGCTGGTCACTACCATTTTACAAGAGAAGGGATATCTGGGGGAGTTCCATGGCAGTCCAGTGGTTAGGCCCTGGGTTCAGTTCCTGGCTCACAGACTGCACAGCATAGCCTTCCCCCGACGACTGAAGGGATATTTTTCTATAAAAAATACTAGGAAAGATATAATCTCAGAATTTCCCTTTACTGATAAAACTGGATGGTATAAATCCTTTCTAGGGATAACATTTTTAAGTCACGTATGCCTTTGTTTCTCACAAATGGGTCAGGACCACACCTGGGACACTGTGAGGATGAACTGAGTTAATATTTGTGAAGTGCCCCTGGTTCCCCAGCGTGACCTCGGAGTCTGGCCCTTCCTGGGCCTGGGCTCTCCTGGTCTGACTGTCACCCCTTCTCCCTCTCCCTCTGCAGGTCTTTGGGGGGCTGGTGTGGATCCTGATCTCCTCGTCCCACGTGCCTATCCCCCTAATCCAGGGCTGGGTCATGTTCGCATCAGTGTTTTGCTTCGTAGCCACCACCATCCTGGCCTTCTTGTATATAATTGGTGCCCACGGCAACAGAACCTCATGGATCACCCTGGTGAGTCCAGCCCTGCGGGTCTGGGGGCAGGGGGTAGTGATGGACACTCCCCTGGGAGGCGGGCTTTTCCAGTACTGGGTGAGGAGCCCTCCAAGGCCGAGCGGCCCACAGCAGCCCAGGGCTCCTGCACAGGAGGCTGACTGTCCCCGCCTGGTTCTCCGGGGCCTCTGCCTTCTCTGTGATCACCCCTGTCCTGGAAACCAGCAGCCTGACATCCCTCCCTGTCCCTCCCGCACCTGCCAGGGGTCGGTTGGCGTCTCCCACCGCCCAGCAGGACCGGCTTTCACCTCCAGGAGGGGCCGGGGAGCCAGCGGGAGTCCTGCTGCCCCGTCCCGTCCCCGCCTCTAACGCGGGGTCACCAGAGAGGAACCAGGCGCGGAAGAGGGATGGCCTGTGATCGCTCTTCGCATGAATTCTGCCTGAGGCCCGTGAAGGGGGGAACTGACACCTGGGTCACCTGCCCTGACCTCCCCTGGACAGGGGTGGGGCTGTTAGCCAGGCCCCGTACTCTCCCAAGGCCTCCAGCCTAGACTTAGAAACCCCCTGAAAATCATAACTACTCAAAAGCCTGCTCTAGTGCTTTATTGCAAAAAAATAATTTGTTTGTTTATTTGGCTGTGCTGGGTCTTGGCTGCTTTGCTCGGGCTTGCCCCAGTCGACGTGAGCGGGGGCTCTTTCCGTCGTGGTGCCCGGCTTCTCACTGCAGCGGCTTCTCCGGTTGGGGCTCCCGGGCTCTCGAGCTCGGGCTCAGGAGCTGTGGCACATGGGCTTAGCTGCCCCGCAGCATGTGAAGTCTTCCCAGACCAAGGATCGAACCGTGTCTCCTGCATGTCAGTTGATTCCTACCCACTGTGATACCAGGGAAGGTGCTTTGTTTTGCTTTTAAACATAACTGGAGCCCCCATCCCTGATCATCCTTCAAGGAAAAAGCTAACAACAAAACAACAATACAATTGGCCTGAGTCTTTCTTTCTGAATTGACCACCGAGGCCACTTCCAAACTGGGGACTGTGACCACAGCTGACACTTCTCGGGCCCAGAACTGATTTCTACCAGTTGCACGCAGAAAGGGCCGCTCCCCGACCCACGACTAGATCCCACCTCACGGGAAAGCAGCACCCCCTCCTCCATCGAAGTCCTTACTCTGCCCCTAGACCAGGGTCTCTAAGTAGGGGGGTGGGGCAGTGGCCCAGACCAGGCAGGGTCAGGAGGGGTGGACAGGCCCTGCTGGGACCACAGGCTCCCCAGGTCTCCCGGCTGGCCTCCCCGTCTCTCTGATGGCTCTCTCTGACCCCACAGGATGCAGCCTACCACTCTGTCGCCGCCCTGTTTTACTTTGGCGCCTCTGTCCTGGAAGCTCTGGCCACCATCCAGCTGCAAGAAGGCTTCTACTATAAATTTTACCATGAAAACATCTCTGCTGTGGTGAGTCCACCATCAAGGTGCCCTGTTCACACAGCTCCCGCTGCCCGCTGTCAAAGGTACTGAGTGGAAGGCTGCCCAGGCCTCCCTGTTATTTTTTAGTTCTCTAGATTTCAATTAAAATAAAACCTCCCCCTCATTTCTGAAGAAACAGAGCCCTGGAGGAGGGAACTGGTGTGCCCCGGCTCCCGTGACCACCAGTCAATGCCGTATTGCCCAGGTCGGGCAGGCGGGACCGGCTTTCACCTCCAGGAGGGGCCGGGGAGCCAGCGGGAGTCCTGCTGCCCCGTCCTGTCCCCGCAGGCGCAGGAGGGCACGTGACTGTGGGGCCGGGCAGTATATGAGCCCCTGTGGACGACCTTATTTACCCCCCTGAAGCTTCCCAATGAGCAATGGGTGGAACAGGGGCTGAACTTCATTCACCCCATTAGGAGGACAGACTGGATGAGACTGTGTATCTGGGGGGCACCTTGCCTGCAAGGGTCTGAGCTCTGAAAGGAACGTCCTCCACCTGGGAAGCCAGACCCTCTGGCAGGCTGTGCGGTCATAATCTGAATCTTCTTGTTGCTGGGATGGGTCAGGATGACAGGGAATAAGAGAATATATCATTTCATAAAACTCTTTTCCAGAGTTATGCATGTGTGGGCTTGCCCCAGTATGCTGACTCATTACACCAGATACATTTCTAACTGTGGATACTATTTAAAAACTAAGAGAAAGCTTTAGAAACAGCGCCCAGATTTCTCGTCAGCACCCTATGAATTAAGGAAGTCCCAAGGTCAGATGTGATGACAGACCACGACATGCCCTCCCCCAGTGCCAAAGCTGTGCTACCCCCACCCCTGTGGGGAAAGGCAGAACAGAGGCTCAAAGAAAGCCCCCGGGCTGGGTGCCGCTGGGCTCTGGGGAGGGGGTTAGTGTGGGTGCCCTTCCTGCGCCCAGAGGGAGGGTTTCGGGCAGAGAGCCTCGAAGCCTGTCTGCCCGTCCCCAGGGACCCATCCCCTTCCCCGGGGAAGCCATACACTCCCCTCAGCTCCCAGCTGCTCCCCAGTTCCATGAGCAGGGCTCCCTCATGGCCCCTGGGACCCCCTCAACTGTCCCACAGTGTGGGAGCCTCTCCCTATTAGTTCATCTCCCAAGATGGCTGGATTCTAAACAGAATCACAGCAGGCTCTCTTTCCCTTGGGAGACAGTCATTCGCCTCCTCCATCACCTTCAGATGACTGTTTCATTGCCCCCTCACTAGAAAAACCACAGGTACCACCCCCAACCCAACCCCAGAAGCCTTCTCTCTGAACAGACATCAGCAAGGCATCTGACAACCATTTCTGTAGAATTACTGCAGACAAGGGCAGTGAAACCTAGATGGAATGTGGATAATGGGCCAGCACTTGACTGACCAATCCAAGTGGGGTGAGTTAATAACCCTGTCCACTGGTCTAATCTCTAGTTGAAAACCGCTGGGCTCCACCATGTTCTGACTTTTTTACTTTCTATCAAAATACAGCATAGATTCTTGAGTTTTCCTGGTGACTCAGCCATAAAGAATCCACCTGCCAATGCAGGACACGTAGGTTCAATCGCTGGGTCAGGAAGATCCCCTGGAGAAGGAAACGGCAACCCACTCCAGTATTCTTGCCTGGGAAATCCCATGGACAGAAGAGCCTGGTGGGCTTCAGTCCACGGGGTCACAAAAGAGTCAGACACGACTTAGCAACTAAATAACAGCACAAATAGGCTTCTAGAGAGGTGAGGACACAGGGGTACAGCTTGATGAATTTCTGTAATCCATCCATTATTCATAGTTCACAACCCTCCATGTAACAAACATCCAGACTAAGAAACAGAACATAATAAGCAGCTCCCAGAAGTCCCTTCGTGCCCTGCCCCACCATGCCCCTTCACTCAGGATAAACCCTGTCCTGATGTCTGGCTTCTGGGGTCCACTTCACCTGCTTTGGGTCTTCATGAGCTCTGTTTGCCTTCTCCCATGTCCGGCTTCTCTCCCCAGATCAGGCTTGTGAGGCTGTTCCACATCGCTGGGCGGGGAAGTAGAGGTTTGTTCTCTTTGCTGTTTACTGTTCCACTGATGACTACACCAGCATCATCTATTTATCCATTCCATGACTGATCATGTCCCCATATCTTTGTGAGCTCAGTTGGAGAGCCATGAGGAGACTCTGGCAAAGTCACCGGGGCAGAATCAGGAATCTAAGTGCTGCCTAAGGGCGGATACGCTGAGCTGAACACACGCCCCTCCCCCACCAACCAGGGGGAATATGAGCCAGTTTTCATGTAAAGTCACATCTTTGTATTCAAAATATCAGTCGTGTCCAAGCCGGCAGGAGAAGGGATCATGAATACAGGCTCAGGATTTAATCCCAGACCGTGCCCGGACCGCACATGCCCTTCCCACAACCTAGGGTGGGGTGGCGGCGGAGGTGGGGGGGGCGGTCTGAGGATGTGAGAAGGCATGTCAAGACCTCTCCCCCGCGCACCTGGCCTCGATTCTCGAGCATCTGACCACCCCTCACTCTCTTCTCCACACCTTCCTCTGGAGATCAGCTTTCCGCTCTCTCCTGGGCTGGCAGCAGAGAGGCTGCACCAGAGGGATCCCGAGGATTGGTGAGAGTGGGCTGAAAGTAGCTGGAAATTTCCGGAGAAATCTGGTGGTTCCGGGGTCTTAACCGTGGTGGACAGCAATGGCCATTGCTCATGGAGAGGGGTTTCTGAGGGTCTGAGTTCACGTCCACTCCTGGTCCTGGCTCTCTCTCCCCCCAGTGTGCCGTCTCTTGACCTCCCTTTAAAATAAGGGTCTGTCTTCCTGCTCCTCTTCTGAGGAGCTTCTGCCAAGGGTCTCTGTTGGGCCTTGAGTCCCCCACATGGTACACTGCTCCTGCCTGATAGGCAGAGGTCTCTTCTGAGGGGCTTCCTACTCATGTGTGACTGCTCCCTTTGGACAGGGTGTCTGATTCCCAGATGGATTCTCTTGCCTGGTTATTAAATAACTCAAGTTACTCGCCGCCCCTGGCAATGAGGGTGAGGGCTCGCCCAGGTGTGGCGGCAGGGCGAGAGGGGCACCATGACTTGGTTTTATGAGGATTTTCAAGTCACGGGACTGCAGCCAGCAGGATGCTGTGCCTGGGTTGGAAACTCTTGATCCTCACACCCAGGGTCACAAGCCAGGTGCAGGTATTTGCTAAGGGGAAGGAAACCTCTGGGGGCCAGCCACCCAGAGCTGGGTGATACTCCCCAAGCGAACACAGTGGATTGGGGCCTTGAAAGGGCACGGAGTGGCCTTTCTGCTGCATTTCCTGGCCTCTGCTCCCAGCAGCTCTCTCAGTAAGCCCCCTCCTTTTGCCAAAAGCTCAAAATCCCTCCTCCCCATCCCAGCCCCTCACTTCCTATGGCCTGGCTCCCTCTGAATAAGATTCCATTTGGGGTTAGAAGATATCCAGGTGGCAAACCCATGTGTTCAAACTCTCTTGGCCAAGACCACTGGGATCACAGCTGGTGGACTCTGGTCCTACTGGTGTGCAGGAAGAAAGTTATCCATGAAGAGCAGGGCATATTCGCCTGCAATTATCACTGGAGGGGTCTCTGGGGGCTCTCGTTTCTAGTTAGTCAGTGCTGACGTGATGACATGTGCAGGCACGCAAGTCCAACGAGTCGTGAGTGTAAGAACGCCGCGGCAAGACAAAGAAAGCGCCAGAGTATTAATAGGCTTTATTGGGCAATAGCTCCCAGGCAGAGCTCCCAGGCACGAGCGGGGGAGAAGCGTGGGTCTGCAACCTGTGGGAAGGGGGGCGGCACCTATATACCCTGGTGGATACGGAAGCGGCGGGACCTTTTCGAATATGGTTGGAGTCAGGCTCTAGGGTGCTGATTGGCCTTTTGTCCCGTGTCGGTTTTTCTTGATTGGCCGGAGTCTTGGCACCTTCGCGTCCATCAGTCCGCCTGGCAACGGGCTGCTAATTGGTGGATGTCTGTCCCTGGGACTTATCTGGTACTTTTCAGCGGGGACAGTCAGCGTGACCTTTCAGTGAGGTCACCTGGAGTCTGTGCTCAGGGCTCCACACAGAGCACATCTGCATGTGTGATGGGAAGCAGGGGCGTCCACACGCTCCAGGGCTGCCAACCCCGAGCACCACGAGAGCAGCCAGCCCAGCGTGGACAGCCCGTGGCTTTCCAAACTCCTCCCGTGAACAGCCAGCTAATTGTCATTTATCTCGGTTGCAGGTGTTTTCATATGTAGCCACTCTGCTGTACGTGGTCCATGCCATGTTTTCCTTAATCAGATGGAAGTCTTCCTAGAGCTGCAGAACTTAACTGAACACCAAGAGGGTGTTCGCCGATCGGCCAGCCTTCCAGCATAACACTTTAGCATTCAGAATGTTCTTGAGAACGGATAAAGAGAGAGGTTTATTCTCCTGCATACCTTCATGGCAGAGTAAGGGGGCTTGCTACGTTTATCCTCCAACTGTCGAGCTGTCTTTCCAAGATCGTTTCCTATTTGAAAGGGGGCAGTGGGGTGGGGAGTGAGGACTGACCCGAGAGACCGTGACACTGGACTGCTGGCCCCTGGACCGGATCGTGAGGACTGCCTACTAGAATTTTCCTCAGGCGCTTCTGAGTGTCCATCTTGCAGCAGGTTTCTCCATCTTCATGGATATTCTGCATCTTCAAGGATAATCTACCTATCTTGGGGAATAAAAGTCGTTCAGCAAATATTCGCAGATGTCCACGGTGGGACAGGATAAACCCTTGAAATACTTTATAAAGTGTCTTTATGTTCAATACTCTTGTGGGAGTGTTTTATTTTTTAATTCTCCAGCACAGGAACACCATCATGTCAGCCTACTTTCTGAGGACTTGTTGGGTTAGATCAAATTTCAGAGGCAGCTGCAAAGGGCAGTTCCGATGACAGCTGTGTGTGCCTGGCCCCTGCATCTCCGAGAGCCCAGAGAGGGTATCCCATTCTCCCCAGCTAACAGGGAGGTCAGATGGCTTCACTCTTTCTAGAAACTCACCAGTATCAGCCTGGGGGACCCCTTCTTTTTCCTACAAAACAGAGGGGTCTGTGCTCAGTTAGAAAGTCCTTACACCAAAAGAAAACAGGCTGAAGTTTCTTCTCACTCTATACGAAACTGATCAGAAATTTTCCAGGCAGTATGTTCTATGTCAGGCTTCCCTGGTGACTCAGTGGTAAAAAGTCCTTCTGCCAAGGCAGGAGACACGAGTTCAACCCCTGGGTCAGGAAAATCCCTTGAAGAAGGAAATGGCAACCCATTCCAGCATTCTTGCCTGGAAAATCCAATGGACAGAGGAGCCTGCCAAGCTACAGTTCATAGGGTCCAAAAGATTAGGACACAACTTGGCGAGTAAACAACAATGTTCTGTGTTCTATGCCCATTAGGAATGTGAATTAGAAACTGCATTTAGAATTTCCTTGGGCCACTTCATAGAGATAAAGGGGACTGGGCTGCCATGCGAAAGGAAGCATGATGACAAGTGTCAGTACCATGCTGGGTATGAGTTGTCTGGGTCAGAAGGAAAGAGGATGATGAGGAAGGAGGGCCCTCAGCTAGAAATGCTGAAAGCTCAGCTCCTGTGATGAAATGCGCCATTATCACTTCAATCAGAGATGTTAATGATGTTCCCGAGCTGGGACACCACGACAGGTGCCTCAGAGACTGGTCAGGTCCCAGCGTGGAGGCCAAGGGGTAGAGGCTGGACAATCGCTTCTGAGTGGGCACGCAGAACAAAGAGTCAGACCTCAAGCAGAAGTTTAACAGGTTGACCTCTTACTCCCCTTCTGGTATAGGGACCTGTGACTAAACTGGGTCTCAGGGGTGTCTTCAGGAGCTGTTATCCCAGGGTAATGGTACCAGAAAAGCCCATTTTCACTGGGCCCATTTAAGTTAAAATTTTATAGCATTAGGAACAAAAGGACATAGGAGCTATATCCTGAAAAATACAAATACAGATTAAGAAATGATCCGAAGTTTGTCACATATTTAACAAAATTTCCAATTAAGTGTTGACTGAGGGAAATCTCATTTTTCTCATGATGAGCCAAGATGCTAAGAGAAGCTCATATTCAACCCCATCAAAAAAGAAAGAGATACCAGAGGCTTAGCTGAATGCTTTTTCAATTACCCAATTTAAAGGAACTTTGACATGCTATTTCCTTTTCAGTTGCCAGTTGTCTAACTCTAAACCCTCACTAGTTACAAGCTTTGCAGAAGATTCTCTGACATGACTTTCTCATTCCTCCTATCCTGAGTCATTTTTATCACTTGCAGTTTCATTGCACTTTCGATTTGCCTCCTCTTTGCAATGGGTGTAATAAGGCTCTTGCCTTGGGCCAGGCACCTGCCGTATAGAGAGGCTGCTGTTGTCCTCCCAGCGGGCCACGGCTGTCCTTTCACAGGTAGGGGATGGGTGCACTCGGCTGGTGAGAACTGGAGCTGGCGGGGCTGGCTTCCTCTGTCCCTGAAGCTCCGCAGTCACCCCCTGCCCTCAGGAGCCCAGACCTGTCCCCACGAAAGTCTGTCCTCTCGCTTCTCAGGAAGCGCCAATGAGACAAGACCTTGTGGTAGACCTGAGGCCGGAGGGCAGAGGACATCAGATGGGGGTGACATCGGGCACAGGGCAGCCCTGGACCACCGTCAGGGTCTGCAGGAGGCCACGCGGCTGAGCCCAGGTCCTGGGCACGGTGCGCTTCCAGAAAGGGCTGCCTGCTCTGAGCTCCACAGTCAGGGCCAGGCCCGTTCAGGCAACTACCGAGCTCCACGCTGCAGCCCTCATGAAGCCAAGGACCCCAGTCCAGCTGACACCTTGGGTGTCTTTAAGTTCATAGAACAAAGGGCTAAGACCCTCCACAGACCTGAGAAAGGGGTAAGAAGAAGCCAATGTCTGTACATGACCGAGAGCCAAAGCTGGCAACACAGAACAAGCCATGGTGACTATAAACGTGGGTGAGGGTTGCATCACAAACCAAAGGAAGGAGAGGCTGCTCTGGATCACATCCCACCCGGACATTCTGGAGGCTTCCACCTGTGACTCCAGTCTTGTAGACCCCGCGTTTCTTGGGGACTCTGGGGGACATCCTGAAGGTGTTTCTTATGGAGAGCAGGTGGCCTGAGAGGGGCTTCAGCCACATAGAGTTCCCCTCTGGGAACTATCTTCTAATACCCTTCCCCTCCCCCACCCCCTTCTGCGCAGTCAGTCGCAACAGATCTGCCCTTCTCCTGGAGAGGACACGGTTTCGAGGAGTTGAGATTCACATTACATGCCTGGTTTGTGGTTGCTGTTGTTCAGTCGTTAAGTCATATCTGACTCTTTGCGACCCATGGACTGCAGCATGCCATGCTCCTCTGCCCTCCACTATCTCCCAGAACTTGCTCAAATTCATGTCCTTGAGCTGGTGATGCTATCCAACCATCTCATCCTCTGTTGCCTCCTTCTCCTGCCTTCAGTCTTTCCCAGCATCAGGGCCTTTTCCAGTGAGTCAGCTCTTCACATCAGGTGGCCACAATATTGGAGCTTCAGCTTCAGCATCAGTTCCTCCAATGAATATTCAGGGTTGATTTCCTTTAGGAAAGGTTTGACCTCCTTGCAGTCCAAGGGACTCTCGAGAATCTCAGAATCCCCGCAACAGCCCAAATGAGGGATTGAAGGCCTCTTCATGGTGACCTTAGCGGGACAGAGGGTTCCCACTGCCAGCCGTGGGCTGTGGGCTGGGGCAGCCTTCAGGCCCACACAAGGGATTGTTGTTCACGGAACTGCTCGAGGCAGCTTGGGGTCACAATGGGGCCTCTGAGGGCACAAGGCGCCTGCGGCCTTGCCAAGTGTTCCTGCACACATGGGCATCTGCCCAAGGCATTTGAAATAGTGTGACTCTAGAAAAAGATGTAAAGTGATTTTCCCCACTCTCACCGCATGATCCATGGGCTTTGTTCTGTCTCCATCATGTGGTCTTGGCAGCTTCTAAGAACTGGGGTTCTGAAGGCACATGCCAGGGCTTCTAGCTGTGACCTCTCTCTTCTCTCACAGGTGACCTGGGACAATCAGAGTGCCAGGCTCTCTACATGGTACCCAGGGAGGTTTGATACATGCAGGGAGTTCAACTTCCAAGATGTCCTTCAGTTGATTTACAGTCAAGGAGAGCCTGGAAGGAGGCAGACACCCAGGGATACGATGGGACAAGACGTGCCAACAACACTGGGTGCCCTCTGCTGCTTGAAGCTCTTTATTCACTCACTTAGTCCTCATGACAACCCTGTGTGGTGGACACTATTCAGATGAGGACTCTACACACGGAGAGGTTAAAGGATTCACCCAAGGTCACAGATGAAGCAGGTGTGACTCGAGTCCCAAGGACCTAGCTCCACACCCCCGGTGTCACCTGTCATGCGCCACATCTCATAGGATCAGGGGATGCAGAGCTGCCAGGCAAGTCCCTCAAACCCACAGCACTGACCGACCATAGTGAAGGTTCCAAACCACACACAGCGAGTGTCGGGGAACCCAGGGGGAAGCCCAGCCTGCCAAGGAGGTGTGTCTGAGACGGGAGCACCTGGAAGCAGGGAGGCTTCTCCAGGCAGAGCCAGGCCGGTGATCCAGCCGGGTGAGGTGGAAGAGGTGAGATCTCAGGAGGTTAGGAGAGCCAAGGCATGGCCCTGAAGGTGAGTAGCCACTGGACAGTGGCAGCTCTCCTGGTGAGAGATGCTGTGGGTCTGGGCAGTGGTGGAGGAGGTGGGGGAAGAGGGATACTTGTTGAGAGATGCTGTGGGTCTGGGCAGTAGAGGGTGGTAGGAGAAGAGGGGTGGACAGACAGGCTAGGCTGGGAGAGTGGTATAGACCTGACCAGGCTTTGGTGAACAGTGATCCCATGGAAGACAGTGGCTTACGGCACGGACCCTGAGCCAGCACACGACTATGGCCTCTTATTCAGCCTCACGGCCCTTGCCTGCAGAACGGGAATATTCGTCTTGCCTCACAGGTTGTTGGAAGGATTCAAGGACTTGGTTCAGGAAGGCTGAGGGAAGTGCCAGCTGGGCTCATCATGATGGGCACAAAGGAGGGAAAGATCTAGAATGATCGTGTTTCTAACCAGGGCAGATGATGCTTATTGGCATTGTGTTTATTAATTAACCATGTTCCCCCGACATTGTCATAAATTTGGGTTGATACTTTTGCTTTTCCCCACAAAAGTGAACATTCAGTCAGTAATGATGCACTTTAAAATAGCTTCACCTAGTTTATGACAGATTGAAATCATAAGGAAGTAATCACAGTTCAAGCGTACT